CTCACTGAGCCGGTAATTCCCCTCCTGGGCCCTGGGTCCACCTCTCCCTGGCAGTACTTGCCATTCTGCACCTAGTGGACGGTGCTGTGAGCAGCTGCTCAGGAGGGATATGGCCCACCAGGTGACATGGTTTCTTCTCTAGAGGAGCAGTCAAACCTCTGTACACCTAGGAAACAGACCCAAACCAGAGAAACATGAGGTCCCCCAAGTTGTGCCCACAAGGATGTGGGGGAGAGGACAGGAAGGCCTCCTGGAGAATCAGGCAGGTGTTGAGTGAGAACTTTATCCCCATGTCCTCCTCTTCTCGCAGGTGATTGTGGGACTTCTGAAGTTCTGGCCCAAGACCCACAGCCCCAAGGAAGTGATGTTCCTGAATGAGCTAGAGGAGATTTTGGATGTCATCGAACCTTCAGAGTTCAGCAAAGTGATGGAACCACTCTTCCGCCAGCTTGCCAAGTGTGTCTCCAGCCCCCATTTCCAGGTGAGACCCAGACCCTGATCATCCCAGGCCCTGCTTCCCAGAAAACAGGAGGGTCTTCAGCAAAGTGAACTGTATCCCCACTGAGTCCTGCCCATCCCCACCAGGTGGCTGAGCGCGCCCTCTATTACTGGAACAACGAGTACATCATGAGCCTGATAAGTGACAATGCTGCCCGGGTCCTTCCCATCATGTTCCCTGCGCTCTACAGGAACTCCAAGAGCCACTGGAACAAGTAGGGAACTGGGGAGGGGCTGGGCAGTGGGGATCTGGTTTTGGAACCTGGGAGGGTGTGGATGAACTCAAGAGCCAGTGTCTCATCTAGTCCCTCAGCAAGTGGGCTGGTGCCCACAGCACATTAATAGGACCTTGAGGGACTGACCAGGGAGAAAAAGATACTCAGGTGAGAGATCTGTGCTACTAAGCAACAGAGCAGTGGCCTGTGTCTCATCTCTTCTTGAGGTCAGATATTCCGTAGCTTTGGAGATTTAATTCCATGTTGTGAGAAGCTGATGTGATCCTCTTAGTATTAAATCCCAGTGTTGTAAAAAAGGCTTTCCTGCCAAAAGCAAGTGTGCCATGGTGTGGACAGTCTGTCATGGTGCCAGGAGGCCATCAGTGTGGGCTGGAGGGCAGGGAGTAGACGGGAGAAGGGAGCTCTTGGAGCATGGGGTGTGGGGAAGGATGGACAGGTAGAGCCATATTTGTAAATGCCAATCTCAAGTCACATGTCTTGGCCAGCGAGATGAGCTGACACTGTACAAAGGTTAGTGAAATGGGAGTAGTCCATGAGAAAACTCTCAGCAGAGACCCTCGTGGGAGAGCAAATTGCGGTCCTGGCACTGAGGGCGGGCTCAGGCCTTCTGTACCTCGTCTTTCTTCCTCGTGGTAGGACAATCCACGGGCTGATTTACAACGCCCTGAAGCTGTTTATGGAGATGAATCAGAAGCTGTTTGATGACTGTACACAACAGTACAAGGCAGAGAAGCAGAAGTGAGTACCTCTCCTCGGGGGCTGTTCATCTTCCAGCCTGGGGGCTGTTCTCTCAACCCCAATCCTGTCTTTTACTCCCTCAGGGGCCGGTTCCGAATGAAGGAAAGAGAAGAGATGTGGCAAAAGATTGAGGAGCTGGCCCGACTTAATCCCCAGGTGAGACTGTTCTGCCGCTGCCCTGGACTGAGGGGTCTGGCTTGGGCTGGGGGAGGGTTTGTTTGAGGAGGAACAGGAAGCGAAGTCACTGGTCCATGCCTCTTTTCCTCTCAGTATCCCATGTTCCGAGCTCCTCCACCACTGCCCCCTGTGTACTCGATGGAGACTGAGACCCCCACAGCAGAGGACATACAGCTTCTGAAGAGGACGGTGGAGACAGAGGCTGTGCAGGTGGGAGGGTGTGGGGGAAGGGGAAGCAGAAAGAACAGACAGCCCTGGGAGGCAGAGGAGATGGGAGCTGCAGAGCCAAGGAATAAGGGGGGGAACAATAGCAGCTCTTGGGAGTTGGTCACTACTTCTCACCTTCCGCGTACCCACGCACAGATGCTAAAGGACATCAAGAAGGAGAAAGTGCTGCTGCGGCGGAAGTCAGAGCTGCCCCAGGACGTGTACACCATCAAGGCACTGGAGGCGCACAAGCGGGCCGAAGAGTTTCTAACTGCCAGCCAGGAGGCTCTCTGACCTCCTCACCTTCCCGCCACAGGGCCACAGCCCACTCAGCCCTGGGACACTGCCCTGGCCCTCCACCCTCTGCTCCCCACTGGCTGACTTTGGGCAAGGCAGTGCCTCTCTACTCTAGGGAGGGGGATGCAGCACTTGAAGCAGGGACTCCCACAGAGTGGTCCCTCTTCTCCCCCAAATGTGTTCATGACTCCCTGCAGCTAGTACAGACAGGCTGAGCACCTTGATGCTCAGCGCTCAGATGACTTGGGGATGCCTGGCCCCCTCCTGCTCCTCACCCCACAGCTACCTGAGGCTGCTCTGAGAAATACACATGGGAATACATACGCTCCTCTTCTGTCCTCTTCAGTCTCATTTGACCTCCAGATGTCTCTCCTTCTCCCCCTCCACTGCAGGCATATAGGGAACAGCAGGAGATGATTCTCACCAAAGTTCTGTCAAGCCCCATTGGCCCCTGGAGTTAGTTAGCTGGAGGGGAGCCAACCCCCAAAGGCACAAGTAGACCCCTGGCTCCAGCAGTGTGCAGGCTGACAGAGCTGCATGATTTCCTCTTGCTCCCTGCCTGACCAAGACAATGTGGGAGGGCAGGAGGAGAAAAGCCAGAGGCTCTGGGTGATAGGTGAATAGAGCCCAGATGGACCAAAAGAAGGGCATGAACAAGCACCCACCCTGTGCCCTCTCTTTGGTGAGCAGCAGCCCTGGGATCACTGACATGGAAGGGACCTCCCTGGGGCTGACTGCTTTCCTGTGCTGATGGTTCCAAAGCTGGGAGGAAGGAAGCAGGGAGCAGTGCCCCAAGCATGGCTCCCCCCAACACCTATTTATTTCCTGTTTGTGATGATGGTGGGCAGGCCCTCACTTGTCCACTTTAGGCACCTTGAAGGGGCAAGGGTCTGGGAAGGGCTGGACCCAGGTTCCAGGGGCGCAGGCAGTGCAGCCTTTGGCTGTGTACATAGGGTGCTTTATTCTCCACAGAGTGATACATGCTATGGTGGGTTGGGCTTGGGCCGATGTCCCCATATGTACAGAACTGAATAAAGTGGGTCTCTGAGAAGAAGTCTGATTTGCCTTGGTGTGGAAAGGGAGACAGGAAGATGAAGATGGACATTACAACCAGGATGTGTTCAGTCCTGTGCTGGTTATGGCCTGGAATGCAGGGAGATAAGGCAGCTCTCAGGGTGGTCACTTCCAGGCAGGGGCAGCCTGCCGGGCTTGGAGGGCCTTCTGTACCACATCTTCCCACTGGGCATCTGATATCTCCCGAGCCCAGGCAGGAACCCCGGGCGCAGGCAGGCTTACTCCAGCCATCGTCCTTTTCACCAGCTCTACGTGTTCTGAAATTACAGGCAGAAACCAGCTGCAGGTAGAAACAATGGTAACAGCTCCCCTCTCCACTCACTGAATTAACCCAGAGCTTTTGGGCTAGCAAGGTCACTGAATCCTTTTTATCCCTAGGCAAGCCTGCTCATCCCCCAAGTCTAGAAGAACATCATTTCACCTGGATCTTAGATTACAAACTTGTTTTAGAAATGGGGTGTTCCTCTGTGATTTCCCTTTACTGGCTCTAACCAGTCCCCTTCCTCTATAATTATTCCAGAATAAAAGAATGATCTCTTACCTGGGTCCATGGGAATAGAGCTGTGGTTGCTCAATGCTGTAGCTCCCCCCTCATCTTCATCCTCGCTTTCTAATGGTGGGTCTGGCAAATGAAGCCCCAGAGCCTGCAGAGCCGGAGAAGGCAGTTCAGGGCCAGCCCTGCAGGGGTTCTAGCTTCACCTGCTCAGGAACAATGCCTCCTCCACCATACCTGGATCCGGTCCTGGATATCAGCAACTACATCTCCATCTCCCACTGGTGCCAGCTCCACTTCCTCTTGTTCAGGATCTTGGTTCAGGGGCTGGTAGGAGTAGCCAGCTGGGCCTGCCCCCGTTTCCTCCTGCTCTTCCTCTGGCTCCTCACTGCTCCAATCCCCAGTACCTTCTGTAGGGCCCTGGTGTGGCCCGAGTTCCTCAGTCTGACTGGGGAAGATACGCTCAGGACCCATGGTGTCTCCCCCTAGAACTACTGCTGCCATCAGGCAGGGGCTGCAAGAACAAGGAGGTAGGAGAAGAGGGACTGGATGAAATTAGGTCCACCGTCAGCCTTTCATCCATCTCCCGTGGTCTCCTCCTGCGTCCACAAAACATTTAAACGCCCCAAGCTTCCTGCACCCCACCCACCTCAGCCTTTCCTAGTTGCTCCACCTCTTAAGTTGGTTCTTATCTCCAGCCGGGGCCCACCCGCCTTGCTCTGCCAATTCTTCAAAAAACAGCCCAACCGGAGGCCATGCCCCCTCCCTCCAACTCACTTAGGAACTCCGGGTTGCCAAACAAGCTCCCCTAGACAAGGAGTACCCGCCCCTTCTCTCCTCCCCAAAGGGTCCTCATCAGTACCACCTGACAAACGCCCTCCAGGCCCCAGGGGCTCCTTCTAATGGCCCCAGCTGCAACGTCCCCTACCCGCCCCCGCTGATTCTCAGCACCGGTGCTTCCGCGCGCCTCACCAGCTCAGAGCCCGCGGCCGAACCCGCACCTTCACTTCCGGCGGGGCAGGACGTGCCTGGGCAACTAGTCCCCCAGCCCCGCCCCGCGTTCATGATTGACGCGAGCGGGGACGTATAGTTCACCCCTTGCCCCGCCTCCACCATCTTCTGCCCAGACAACAAAGGACTACATCACCCAGAAGTCTCGCGGCTTTGACACAACTGCACATGTGCATAACCTCCTCCGGCTCTTGCCCACTCCTGAGATCCCTTCACGTTCCTCCCCAAACCCGTGGACTACAAATCCCGGTAGGCTTCGGGCGCTTAGCGCTGGTTGCACGTGCGCACACAGCTGCCCGCTGGAAGGTCCGAGCCTGGCTGTGTTTATCTCGTTGGGGACCGAGTCGTCGGTTGGCGCGCAACGGGTTCTAGGCTGCAGGCAGCGCGAGGACCCGCGGCCCCGCCCCGGCCCGGCCTGGCAGGTAGCCCCGGGTGGGTTGAGGGACTAGGAAGATTATAGGGGCTGGGGACACCCATGCCTAGAGCTGGATTCGTGGGGGAGGGGCCTGAGAGAGATGAGATGGGGGTGGGGAGGGAGTTAGGGGGATGATGGGAAAGGAGAGTGTTAATGGGGAAAGGAGGGCTCGGGGAAGATGGTGAGGAGATCGATGGGAGACACCTGGTAGCTAGAGAAAGCCCTAAAGGGAATTGGAAGGAAGACCAGGTTATGAGGAGAACAGGGAAGCTGAGGATAACGGAAGCAAAGGGCGGGGGTGTCTGGCGTTGTGGGGGAAGGGAGGTTCGGATGACTGGAAGAAGGCAGGGATAGCGTCATATACAGGGAGGAAAATCTCTGGCCGAAAGAGGTCAATGAATATTAGCTTTCTATCCCTTAGAGGAAGAGGGCTATCGGAGTGGAGCTTGGAGTTGTGGGAGAAGGAAAAAGGAGAAAATTGCAAAGCCCTCAGGAGTTCGAGAAGGGCCAGAAACGGGGAGTGAAAATTGCAAGAGAATAGGAACGGAGTTAGGTACATTAAAGGATTTGAAGAAGCTTGAGAATGCGGCAGTGATGGAGGATGGGAGAGACCCAGGGATAAGAGGAGCTCCTGAGACCCTGCAGGCTTGTCATCCGCGAGCTTGAGTTGTCCTCACTTATGGACGAGAAGCTAAGTTTTTTTTTCTCCACCTTTGGATGGAATTGCTTCTCTCTTCCCCTGTGAATTCTTTACTTTCATATAGCTGAAGGGGGAGTAGAAGCTATGAGGGAAGATGAAGAACTCCCATTCTTAAGCTCTTCCACCTCCTTCCTATCTGTCCCCACAAGTCCAGATCCGAGAGCTTTTGGATTGAGGACAGGAGTAATGAAGTGAGAGTGGTTTCCTGCTGGGGCTATTTCAGGTTTGACAGAGTGGCTATTTAAAGCATGGGGTGGGGGGTTGAGGGAGGTTGGGTGGGGTCGGGGAGGGGGCTGGCAAGCCAGCCGAAAGCCAGAGCTGTGTGTCTTTCTTGCAAGGGGCCTCCTTTACTTGAGCTTTTTCTGCGCCTGAGGTTCTGCCTGGGTCTTCCCTCCGCTAGGGCTTCTTGAAGAGGGAGCAAACGATTCACCCAAAACCAGCAGGTGCTTGCCAGCGACGGCAGTGCCAGTCGCAGGATCTGCCTAGGGACAGAGCCTCCAGATGTACCCTTTATCACTAGGTTGGCAGATTGAGAGACCATGACCTCTTATGCCTGCTGTCTTTTTCTTGTCCTGCGCAAGGGCATTTTTGCTTTCCTTCCAATTGCTTCCACTGATTTGCAGTGCGCACCCCATCCTTAGCCCCTCTGAGGAACCCAAGTGGGAGAAAAGCTGCTGGAAACAGCTCGTTCTTTACCACAATAGCAGGGTTGGGCAAGTGGCAAGAGGAGAAAACCCCTCCTCCTCACTCCCGTTCTGTCAATGCCCAGTAGACACATACCCTTCTGGCTTAAGTTCCTAGTCTTGGCAGCATACCAGGCACAGCTGTCAAAGGAACTCCTCGTGCCTATGAGGGGCCCTGGGTGACCCTGAAGACAACAGCTCAGCTTGACAAGAGCCCCCTAGCTATCCATCCATGGAGGTCCCAACCATCTGTGGAGGTCCCTGCCCTGGATCAATCCCACCCTGTTGTGGATAAAGGGAGTATTCCATTCTAAAAGCCTAAAAGCTTTTTTACTTGGAGGCACTCATGCCAGCTTTCAATAGACCGTCTGGGGCTGGCTGGGCTATTAATAGCTCTGAGTATTTTGAGATCCCTCTCCCCACCTCAAAGAGCACAGAGATTCTTAGAGAGGTGGCAGTAAGCAGAGCACAGCCAGAGAGACAAGAGAACTAACTCACCGGCCTGGGAAGGGGGCTTGGAGCTTGGGCCAGGCCAGGGACGGGGTGGCGCCTCCATGAGTGGGGTATGACGATGTTGAGCCTTGATCAGCAGCCTGAGCTGGCAGTCAGGTCAGACTGGCCCCACCCTTCCCTGTTGGAGAACGCAGGGCCAGGGCTAGCTCCCTGACCTCGGCAGCTCCCCTGGGGCAAAGCCAGCCACCTGAGCTGCGGAGGGGTTGTGTGGGAGGGCCACCAGGGTGACACTTAGAGGCAAGGGCTAGTCTTGGGCAGAGTCACAGTGAGGCGGGCAAAGGCCTCGTCTGAGGAGCCCGTGGCCCTAATTTGTGTGCAGGTAGCAGAGGCAGCAGGCCGTGCCGGGGGGGGCATGTTGCTGTAACCAGTGGCCCAGGGGATGTTACGGTGGACAGTGCACCTGGAGGGCGGGCCCCGCAGGGTGAACCATGCTGCAGTGGCTGTCGGGCACCGGGTATACTCCTTCGGGGGTTACTGCTCCGGTGAAGACTATGAGACGCTGCGTCAGATTGATGTGCACATTTTCAATGCAGGTAAGCTAATTTGGGGACCCTCCCTGGGTGCCCATGTCAGGGAGGGCAACGGGCAGCTGAATGAGGTTTGATGGTGATCCCTGTGGCCAAAGGGAGTGGGGGAAATGAGTATCTGGTTTGGGAAAAGGTGGACAGCCTGAAGGGGGGTTCCCAGGGCTGAGCAGAACTGTGCCCACAGTGTCCTTGCGTTGGACAAAGCTGCCCCCGGTGAGACCTGCCACCCGCGGGCAGGCTCCCGTGGTACCCTACATGAGGTATGGACACTCAACTGTCCTCATCGATGACACGGTCTTCCTCTGGGGCGGGCGGAATGACACCGAAGGGGCCTGCAACGTGCTCTATGCCTTTGATGTCAGTGAGTATGGGTCTTGGAGAGGCTATGTTCTGCCAGCTGGTGCCTTGTGGGGCTGGGAAGGGTGTGGGCTGAGGGGGCTGGGAGTAAGGCGCCCCAGAGTCTAGGAGAGAGTGTCAACTTGCTTACCAGGCCCACCCTCTCCCCTCCTTCAGATACTCACAAGTGGTCCACACCCCGAGTGTCAGGAACAGTTCCTGGGGCCCGGGATGGACATTCGGCTTGTGTCCTGGGCAAGACCATGTACATTTTCGGGGGCTACGAGCAGCTGGTAGGTCTGGGAAGAAACTACAGGTTTAGGGTGGGAATGAGAAAGTGGAAGGGGAATTGAAGGTCGTGGAGTGGAAGGCTTTGGTTTGCTTGCAGGTTCTGAGTGGGGAGGGATGGAGGGCCAGAGAGTGACCACTGCCCCTCATTTATTCCTTCCTTCACTTCCTCTCTCTTCCCTCTCAGGCGGACTGCTTTTCCAATGACATTCACAAGCTGGATACCAGCACCATGACGTGGACCCTGATCTGTACAAAGGTCTGCCCTTCTTCCTCTCTCCCAGGTCCCCACCCTCAATTGAAGAAACCATAGGGAGCTCAAACAGTGAAAGCTGACCCTCTTCCCCTCCCACCCTGCTCCTGCCCAGGGCAACCCTGCACGCTGGAGGGACTTCCACTCGGCCACAATGCTGGGCAGTCACATGTATGTCTTTGGGGGCCGCGCCGACCGTTTTGGGCCATTCCATTCCAACAACGAGATTTACTGCAACCGCATCCGCGTCTTTGACACGAGGACTGAGGCCTGGCTGGACTGTCCACCCACCCCAGTGCTTCCTGAGGGGCGCCGGAGCCACTCAGCTTGTGAGTGTCTGTTCCATCCCCACCGAGTCCCCTTCCCACCCATTGTCCCCACGCTCCTAACATTCCTCTCTCCTTCCAGTTGGCTACAATGGGGAGCTGTACATTTTTGGTGGCTATAATGCAAGGCTGAACCGACACTTCCATGACCTCTGGAAGTTTAACCCTGGTAAAGAGCACTGCCTTTAAAGGAGGAACAAAGAGGAATTTCGGGCAAGGGGGAGAATAATCCTGAATAGGTGAGGTGCGTGGGTGGAGAGGATATCTGGAGTAGGCAGGCCTTGAACCACCATATAAATTCTTTTTAGTGTCGTTTACCTGGAAAAAGATTGAACCGAAAGGGAAGGGGCCATGTCCCCGCCGGCGCCAGTGTTGCTGTATTGTTGGTGACAAGATTGTCCTCTTTGGGGGCACCAGGTTAGGAGGAGAGAGGGGAGGGATCCAGGAAGGGTCTCGGCCTGTGACTCACCTGGGAGACATTTGAGCGAGAGGGTCTCGTGGGTCGTCTCTGCTCCTTCCTTCATCTCTCTTTTGATCCCTACAGTCCGTCTCCTGAGGAAGGCCTGGGAGATGAATTTGACCTCATAGATCATTCTGACTTACACATCTTGGACTTTAGTAAGTACACTTATTCCCAAAGTGCTCATGTCATCAGGGTGCCTGTCTTTGGGTGGTGATATCGAGGACTGGGCTCTTTCCTCAGCTTTGACCATCTCCCTCTTCTCCACTCCTCCTTTTAAGGCCCTAGTCTGAAGACTCTGTGCAAACTGGCTGTGATTCAGTATAACCTGGACCAGTCCTGTTTGCCCCATGACATCAGGTATAGTGACTGGTTAGAAAGGGATGGGTTGAAGTCAGTGGGCAGCACAGGCATGACCTGACTGGCTTGGTCTCAGGATGGGGGAGATAGGTTTTGTTTTGCTGGAGATGTAGTGTGCTTGTGGAGAGTGAGCTGGAAGGAAATATAAAACTGTCAGCACGGTAAATTGTGTGGGGAAAAAAAAATCCAGTTTTTCAAACCAAGCTCAGAAACATCACTTCTTCCTGAGACCTGCTTATTCAGTTTTTGTTAATGTGCTGAGAAAGTTTGATTAAATCTTAGAACCTAACTGCAAAGTAAAGACAAGTTTCAGAGCTTCTGGATCACATCAGTTCCAGAATTAAGGGAGGTCCTTCCTAGCTACTTGCCTTTGAATTCCATTCTTAGGTCCAGATCAAGCACTAAGTTATTTTGCGTATAATTGTGCCCTTCTGGGTCATTCTGCGACACTTCCCTCTCCTTGTATCAGTTCAATTTAACTCTTACTTGCTGAGGGTCTCTGTGTTCAGTATTTAGTGACAGAGTATACACGGTTGAACTGATGGATCTCGGATCAGCCCAGGATTGACACATGTGCAAGTACCTAATACCAAGTAGACTGTAGCCTTGGTGTAAGGAGGTACTTGGTGAATCTATGTAGAGTGATAGAATTGCTAAAAAGAGAGGGACTTAATTTTAATGTGGTGGAATGGGTGGAGAAGGCCTCAGGGAGGATGTGAGAGCTAAGTCAGAGCCTTAAAAGGATGGGAATTGAGAGCACAAAGGGGCATTCCTGGTGGAGTGAGGGGGATAGGCTTTCGTTTTGGATCTGAGCAGAGGAGGAAAGGTAGGTTGGGAAGTTTATTGAGATTTATACACAGGTGGTTTTCTCCAAGTGTTGGGCACAAGAATACAAATATGTAAGCAAACAGGAAGTCCACATGAGCTTGCAGGTGGAGGAGTGGGTGGTACTGGATTTGGTGGTGGGTGGTGACTAATTGTTAAACCTAGTAGGGCTGTAAGGCAGAGGTGGCTGTGGGTGGTTGAGCTTTAGGAAGTAGAAGGGACTGGTATGTTCATAGCTTTGTTCAAGCAATTCTGGGCTTGGGGGTGGAGGCTCCCCTTTCTGTCCTTTCTGCCTGTCATTGTTGGCCTTCCAGGTGGGAGCTGAATGCCATGACCACCAACAGCAATATCAGTCGCCCCATCGTCTCCTCCCATGGATAGGGGGAAGTTTCTGCCACCTCCCTTCCTGAGCCTGCTGTTGTCTCCACTGCCCCTGCCCATCTCTCACCCGCCTGCCCCTTTGGACCCTGGACTCGGTATACCTCCACATGGAGTTGTTGGACTAGAGATGTTTTCTGTGCTGTGAACTCAGTGGGGAGCTGTAGGTGGGGAGGGCTAGGTCCCTTCCTCCTTGGGCCGAGGGCCCCTTCCCCTTGGTGCTCTGTCCCATCCACCTCCCTCCAGCTGCTCCTGGGCCTCTGCTCTGCCCCATGCCAGCCATGCTCTGCTGGGAATAGAAGAAGGGAATGGGGTGAAGGGAGAAGCAAGCAGTGTCTGAGCCTCAGGAGCTTCCCCCCTACCCGTATTTCCACTCCTTCCCCCTGCTTGAGCCATGGGCATTGATTGGGAGCTGAGAGTTGCAGCTGTTGGCATGAAACCTCCTTCTCCCTTACCTGGGGAGGCAAGGACCAGCAGATAATCCCACCCTTCCTTAAGCTGTTGCTGCGCCCTGACGCTCTCAGCCAGCTCCGATTTTATAAAAATGAAATAAAAATCTCCATACGTGTGATCTTTTGTGGAATATGATGGGGATGGTAGGAGTGTGCTATGGGGGCAGAGTGCTGAGGTTCTGGCTTCTCAGCCAAGAGCATTAGGCAACTAGACATCATGACGGCTGGACGTAGTCTCTCATCGGCGCGGACAGTGCCATGCGACGGAAAGGTGGCGACTTTACCTCGAGTGGGCGCTCTCTTAGGCCCAGAACCCAAGGGCAGCCCGTCTGACCCCGCCCGGCGGCTCAGCAGTGGGCAGGTTCTGCTCTGCTGTCCTGTGCCGCGTGTACTCGGCCTCCCATAGACACCGGAAGGGGCGGGGCGAGGGCCGCTGGAGCGGAAGTAGCGCCATTCGTCTTCGCCGCGCCGCACGAACGGATGCCGAGAGCGAGCTCTCGCGACTGGGCGGCTGCCGAGTCTCCTGGTGGGGCCCAGGATGATTGGGAGGACTCCAAGGGCCTGGAGTCCGAAGACTTGCGGAAGGGTGAGGGCACGGCGCTGGGCTGAGGGGTAGCGTGGGCGCTGGGGGCGGGGAGAGGATCCAGACGGCGGTGCCCGCCCGGCGCCCAGTAACTCAAGAGTCTGGTGTGGGCTCTAACCCTGTGGACGCCGTCACCATGAGACTGCTCAATTCTCTGACAGACTCAAACACTGGGGCGCCCCCCAACGCACTGGAAAGTGGGGAGTGAGAGAGGATGCTTCCTGGATTAGGACATCCTGAACAGTTTCTTAAAGGGAGGATGAGGGTTTTGCGCAGGGAGAAAACGGATGTTCAAAAGCACAGTCAGGAAAGGGCATGGATGGTTGGGGAATAGTAGGTCAGGAGTCAACAAATTTCAGAAACACTGTTGAGCATCTGTTGTATGCAGGTACAGTTCTAGATGCTTAAGAGAGAATAGTGAATAAAGCAACCCCAAAAAGTTCTCTTACCTTTTAGGGGTTAAAAAACAAAAACCAAGCAAGTTGGTATATGAAAAGACAATAAAGCACAGAATGACATACTTTAAATGGTGAATTATATGGTATATGAGTTGTATCCCAGTTTTTCAAAAAAATGATAAGAGCTTTGAAGAGAAAGCAGAGGCAGGGTTACAGTTTTTAAGTAATCACAGAAGGCCTCGCTGAGTAGGGGACATTTGAGAAATACTTTGAAGGAGGTGAGAGAGCAAGTAATAAATACATCTGGAGGAAGTGTTCCCAAGCAGAGGCAAAATTAAGTGCAAAGGAACTAAGATGGGAACATACCTCCCTGCTTAAGAACTGCTAGGATGCCAGTCGACTGGAAAGGAGTAGGAAGATTAGAGACAATATGGGGTTTTGGTCACGTGGGGGTTTCAGGCTGTTACAAAGCCTATAGCTTTTATTTTGAGCAAGATAGAAGCCATTGGGGAATTTTGAGTTCTGATCTGAAGGATATGTATGTGGAAATAAGGTGGGAGTGCTAAGATCGGATTTGCATTTTCGATGTCTCTCTCTGGGGAGCATAGCTTCAAGAGGATTGAGAGTGGAAGTTGAGAGAGCAGTTAGGAGGCTAGAGCACTGATAAAAGTGAGAGGTGTTGAGAGTATTCTGAACCAGAATAATGACAGTGGTACCTGAGCAAGGGAGGCAGGAGCCCTTGTGGGGAAGCCTGCAAAGGAATAATTTAAAAGAGAAGATGAAAGGGAAGAGGGTATAGCTCAGTGGTAGAGCACATACTTAGCATGCACGAAGTCATGGGCTCAATCTTCAAGTAACCCCATTAAATTCACCATCATCATCATCATCATACCTAATCACCCCTCCTCCCCCCAAAAGAGAGAAGATGAAAAAGAAGAAACTGGCTTGGTCCACCTCCAGCCTTACATATACACCTTAGCAAGATGAGGCCCCAGGTAACGGGAACAGATGGGGAGTTAGGTGTCAGTGTAGCACCGTTACAACTTGTGCTGCCCGGGACCTGCAGTGATGGGCCTTAAGGTTAGGATATTGGAAAGGATCAGTGACCTAAGGAGTAAGGATGGGATGGTGTCTTTGCAGCAGTGGAAGGTGCTGAGCTGAACATCTTGTGGTCCCCCCACCCCACTTCCACAGGCACATCTAACATGTCATTTGAGGAGCTGTTGGAATTGCAGAACCAAATGGGGACTAAGACATTCAAACAATTGGTAACTGGAAACAGCACTAAGAAGCAAGGTTCTAGACCACCTGTCCAAAAAGCGTGTGTTGCAGATAAGCACAGGTGAGGAGCAAGGCCTGTCCCAGTTGGAGGATACCTGGGACCTTGAGTAATTGTCTGCTTTCCTGGATGGCAGGTGGGAGGCCTGTGACCTGTCCTTTGATTTCCCTGTAGGCCTCTGGAAATGTCATCCAAGGTCCGGGTGCCATTTTTGCGTCAAGTTGTCCCCATCAGTAAGAAGGTGAGGAGGAGGCAGTAAGCACTTTCTAAGTGAAAGGACACCGAACAATTCTTTTATATTCTCTGTTCTCTCCAAAGGTAGCCCGGGACCCCCGCTTTGACGATCTGTCAGGGGAATATAATCCTGAGGTGTTTGATAAAACATATAAATTTCTAAATGACATCCGAGCCAGAGAGAAAGAGGTGTGTAGCATGGGACTGGTTTGTGGGGACTCCGAGGGGTGGAAAACTAGAGCACAGGTTAGGGAGTCTGGCAGAAGGGAGTAGGGTGCATCAGTTCACTAGCTGATGTCATCATTGGCAGGTTACTTAACCAATTTCTGCTTCAGTTTCCTAATCATAGAAAGAGATAATAATTCCTGTCTCATAGTGTCATTGAGTTAACACGTGAATCTCTTAGAATAACGCTAGGCACAAAGTTTTAGCTAACATTTACAGAATGCTAACCATCATATTCACCTTTCAATGTGGAGCTTGTGAAAAAGCAGTTGAAGAAGCGCCGTTCAGGGGAGGAGCATGAGAAACTGCAGCAGCTGCTTCAGCGAATGGTGAGTAGGTGAGAATTACCCAGGGAGGGGGAAGTAGGGAGAGCAGGTAGAAGTGGAAGGTGATTCACAGTCCCTCCTATTCACCTGTCCCCCCAATCTCATCTTTGCTCATCAGGAGCAGCAAGAAATGGCGCAGCAGGAACGGAAGCAGCAGCAGGAGCTGCGCCTGGCACTGAAGCAGGAACGGCGGGCTCAGGCCCAGCAGGGCCATCGGCCGTACTTCCTGAAGAAATGTGAGTAGGGCACAGCTATGACCGACTAGTTACAGGGATGGGGGTTGGGTGGCCATAGTGGCAGGATGCTGTATTGGGGGCCTATGAGCTCCCTAAGGGAGGCATGAAGGCTGGATCCTATGGTAAGTTGAAGGAAAGTAGAAATAGTAGGGCAGGGTTGTGTATAACCATTCCTGTATCCCTAATTAGACTATGGTCAGGAAGTGTCACTCGTATCTCTGTTTGTTAGGTTGGGCACAGAGAAGAAACTCATATTGAGAAAGAGTAGAATCATAGGAGTCACCTTGCTTCCACACACCGGTGAACTCCGGATATGTTATGTATTCGAGCAAAGTGGTTAAGAATTACGGGCCTGGGGAAAGGGAAAGGGGGCTTTCTTTGCTTACCAGCTTTTTTTCTTCCTGTGCTCCAGCTGAGCAGCGCCAGTTGGTCCTCGCTGAAAAGTTCAAGGAGCTGAAACGCAGCAAGAAGTTAGAGAGCTTTTTGAGTCGAAAGAGGCGCCGAAATGCAGGCAAGGACAGAAGACATCTCCCTTTGAGCAAAGAGTAATAAGGAACTGTCCTCAGCTCTGCCACTACCCCAGTGAGAAATGCATCTGTGGGGACACCTTTGGGCTTGCCCTGTTCTGATTCTTTCCCATTCAAGGGCGAGAATCACATCTGCCTTGGAACTAGATTGGCTCGGAGATGACTAGAGGGCTCTCTGACTGCCCCAGGGCTGACAGGAGGAGCAGGTCAGCCCTCTGCCATGCCACACTTGCCCTGCTTGGATCTGCTTCATAATATTCTAGTGTCCTTCTCCCATCCGTGCCTTAAAATAATGATTCTGGTGTAGAAAGAGAAGGACCAGTGAGTGATCTTGAGGCCAGTTGAAGGCCATAGAGTCTGTCAGTGACTCCCAGGGCTGGGACTCTGTAGGAGCCAGTTCATAAACACTCTTATTACTCATCTTTTTATTTTGTTTCTTTTGTGAGTGGCGTAGAACTATTGTTTCAGGGACATATGAGGTAGGCAATAAACCTAAGGTTCCCACAGAGTGGGAAGTCAGATCAGAGACCCATCCTACTTAAATCCAACAGCTGAAACAGTCATTCAGAGAGGGAACCAATCCCACAACTCACCTCCTTAGCTTTGATTTTGGATTCAAGGGGTGGTAGGATGTGGGACAAAGAGCTTCCCCAATAACTTGTAAACACAGCTGGCTCCCAGTAGTTGGGTTTTTTTGTTTGTTTGTTTTAGTGTTATTTTATTTGGGGGTGGTAATTGGGTTTTTTAATTTATTATTTTTAGTGGAGGTACTGGGGATTGAACCCAGGACCTTGTGCTTGCTAGGTATACACTCTACCACTGAGCATACCCTTCCCCCCTCAGTACTGTTGGGGTGGACAGTTCATACTAATGTGGGCTGGAAAATCCTCAAGCTGACAATTAAGTTTACAAGGATCTCAGGTTGATGGTCTCTCTAGGTACCTGGCAGAACCAAATACAATCCTCTCTTGAGGACTGAACTTTAAATCTAGGCCTCAAGGAATTCCTTCAGATAGAATTTCAAGGAATATGAGCCTACAGTGAAGACATAAAGCGCACGAGGAAAGAAACTACCATGAGCAGGAGTCGTAAGAAACAATAGGCAATAAAATCAAACCAGCAAGACTTGAGATGTTGGAAGTATAAAATACAAAAAAAAAGTCTTATGATGAAAGAAAAGGTATGCTAATGAAAAAGAGGACCAAATTAGTTTGATTAAAAAAATTTTTTAATGAAAAATATACTATTTGAAGTTACAGACTTTATGATTAAGTGGCAGATTAGACACATCAGGAAGGAAAATGAGCTGGAAGTAGATCTGAAGAGGGTATACCCATGGAGCCCAGAGATAGAGAGAAAGAGAAACTAAGGAAAAGAGGTGAAAAAGCAGACGATAGAGTGAGGTGTGACCCAAACCAAAGTTGCAGAAGGAGGTAATTTTAAGGAGGCTGAGAATTTTCTAGAATTGATAAAATTTATAAACTCTAAGAATTAAGAAGACCAAGTTAATCACAAATAGGATGAGGGGGCAAATAAATGACAAAGATACAGAATATTAGAAAGATTAACATCTAAAAAGCAGCTGTAAAGAAAAAGGGAGGTAGAATTAGAAGTTAGGACATCTGTTATTACTTGATATTTCTTTGATGGGGGAAAGATGTTCTGATGATAAAAATGCATAAAATGTGCTGCTCCCAGTAATTGTAAGATGAGAGCTGTAGCTACCAGGATAGTTTGGCCCAAAGGGAGTGAGGGAGCCCATGCTCCAGGGTCCCCAGTGTCACATGTATCAGTCCTGCTTTAAAGCCAAAAAAACTGATTCTGGTTGATAAAAGCAGACGAAGACTATTGAACTATTTGGCTTACAGAGGAACTAAGGTTGGAGAGAAGCTCAAAAAAAACAAAAAAAAGTCTAGTGAGGGATAAAGTCTGAGCAGTTAAAAGCACTCTAAATCCTACCTTGGAACCAGTGAGCTTTTGTGTGTGTGTGTTTAATTGAAGTATAGTCAGTTTACAACGTTGTGTTAATTTTCTCAGAACCAGTATTGATGTGAAGATGTCACTGCCACTGCAACTGCCAAAGGCAGCACTCCATTTACCCCCTGCTCTGCTCTAGACAGATGTTCCTGGCAGAGGTATCTGATCACCTGGCTGCAAGGGGGAGGCTGGGAAAGCAAATGTCTGGTTTTTTGTATGGTGGGAGGTAGATTCTTCTACCTAGATTTGTGGTGGGAGGTTTCCAAGCGTGAGAAAGAGGTTCAGGTGAAGGGTGGTCAAGAAATCATGATGTATGTCCACTATGAGACTGTACTGGCCCCCAAGCCTGCTACTTTTCCCCTTCGACAAGGAGTCAGAGGAGACTTTGGAGAGCTGAGCTTCAGCTATGGGTTTGTTTGGTTTTGGTTTTTATTGTTAATAGCTTTATTGAGATACAATTCACATGCCTTCCAATTTACCCACTGAAAGTGGGCAATTCAGTGGTTTTTAGTATATTCACAGAGTTGAATAACCACAATTTTGTAACATTTTCGGCACCCCGAAAAGAAATCCCGTACCTTCTAGCAGTCTTTTCCCCTTTCTTCCCAATTCCTCCAGCTCTAGGCAACCACCAAACCACTTTCTCTAGATTTATCTTATATAAATGGAATCAATATGTAGTCCTTTGTGTGCAAATCAGCTAAAGAGATATAAAGAATGAGGCTTTGCAGAATGAGGCTCACAAGGGGGTCAGGGTAGCAAACTTCCATCCCGAGTCAGCCTGGAGGTGTTCACCCTGTAGGGATGAAAAGCCTTGAGCGCAGAGAAGGAGGCTCAGATCTCTTTACTGGTGCTGGTGAGAGAAGGCCAGTCAGGACTGCTTGCCTGGATGGCTCGATTTGGGCATATCAGCCAGGCCAGAGTCAAAGTGGGGTTAGATGGTATGTGTAGGAGCTGGACTGCAGACTGGAACGTGCAGGGTTTGGGGGATCAAGACTGGTGTGTTCTTCCCTTAAGAATCGTAGGCTGGTCCACTGCAGATGAGCAGGTGGGTACCCTACGGGGAAGTGCGGAGCAGGGCGACTGAGTAGGGATGAAGGGGTGGAAACAGGTGCAGCGGGTGAGCCTAGTTAGTGGCCTACAGCTCCACCCATGTAGGAGTCGGTGGGGGCAGCAGCAGCACAGGGTAGCAATGGGAGAAAGTCCCATCTGGTCCCCATGTGTGGTGCACGCTGGCCTGGCTGCTAGAGCCCAGGGGCTGTCCGGTGGGAAAGGGTTGGCTCATAAAGAGAATGAGAACCCAGAGAAGCAAAGAGCGCTGGCCCCAGAGAGCTGGCTCAAGAATGAGGGCACAGCCTGGACCAATAAGAGAAACAGGCTGTGATCTCTGGCATAAAGTGGAGAGGCACCTAAGTGACAAATTGCGGCAGCCCCAGTGTGCCCACTGCTGCCCCAACCTGCTGCTGCCTCCCAGTAGCACGGGCCAGCAGGATGGTTCTGTGAGAACCAGCAGGAGCACCACACTGCAAAGTGGAGCAAGCATGGGCCCACCGTGTCTGTGTTGCTCTGTTGTCTCATCCTGGGCATCCTGACCTTCCTAAGCCCTGGCTTCTTTTTCTCTTGACTGATTTCATTCCAGGAATATCTCAGTGTTGGGTGGCACCCAGTCGCCTTTGGTCTCTCTGTCCTCTCCCATCACCTGACTCTCCCTCATCCCTCTCCCCCTCCTTTCTTCTGTAGCTTTCTCCTAATCACCTAGTCATGGACTCAGGATGCTTGGGTCACTCCCCTCCTCTGCCTCAGTGTGGGTGGGGCCAGGTGAGCCAATCATAGTAGCACAGAGCAAATCCCTCACAGTGGCAGAGGCCTGCCTCGGGCTAGTTGGGGTCCAGCTTTGGGGACAGTGTGCAGCTTGCAGGCAAGGCCCTGGGACTGGTGGAGGCAGAGTGAAGGGAGGAGGAGCCCATGAGGGCTGCAGTTCCTTCTAGGTCGGCTTCCAACCCAGATCCTAGAGCTTCTGAGTGGGACACACGTTAAGGTCTTGGGTGCGCCCAGTGGCTGCAAGGGACCCTTACCTCACCATCCTCCTCAGTCTAACCTCGGGGGGGCACCATGCACTGCAGTCACTGCTGAACATGGCAGCAAGAGGGACTCAGGGGCAAAGCTTTCACTATGTCAAATGCTCCCACACTTGGTACTCGTCAGACTCTCACAGTGACTGCTCCAGTTCCACAAACAAGGAAAACAGCCTTGCTTGATGATGTGTGTGTTACAAGCTGTCCAGCTCGTGGCAAGGTGGGCTTGAGTCCCCAGCCTTCCTGGTGAAAGCACTTCTGAGAAGGCCCTCTGAGAAGACCCTTCCGCGGAGTCTACTTAATCCCCCTGCCCAGAGGGGGATGCACAGTCCTACCCGACTCCCTCTGCCCTTCTCCCCAGGCTGCCATCCTCACCCTGAGTGGCTCCTAGCAGGCATGATGCAGCCTCAGAACAGAGGGCTCTTCCCTGTCAGTCAGGAAAGCACCCCCTGCCCCTGTCAGATTCCTAGCAGTCACCACACAGGTCAAGGAATCAAACTCTTGTATTTTATTCTGTAGAAAGCCCTGGCCCTACCTAGCCCTGGCCCCGCCTCCAGAGTTACCGGAAGGTAGCGAAGCTCTGGGTGCCGGTGCAAGAGGCATAGGGCACGCCCCGCGAGCGAATCTGTAGGGTGTGGAAGGTGAGGGGTGGGTTGGGGCCCGAGGAGCTTGGGTTTAGGGGTTCGGTGTGAGGCTCCATCACAGTCACGGGGACCGCGTAGGACAGCATCTGGGGCCGGTCGTCCTGGCGTCTCACCGTGCCCTTGCCCAGGAGGTGCAGGACGCAGGAGAGGACATCAGCACTGCTGCAGGCAGCCCCCCTGCCGAGGCTGCTGACCAAGCCCCTGGGAGGACATGGTCCCTTCTGCCAAGCTTCCAGCACCTGGTGTGGAGCGGGGAGGGGAAACCACAGGTCAGAGGTGCCCAGCTTCCCCCAACAGCTTCCGGTCCAAGCACACGCTGCCAGGACAGTGAGGACCTGGGGCACACCGCAGCCTCACTCCTCACCCACCCACAGGCTCCACACTGAGCCAGAGGCTTCAAATGTGGATCCATCTCCTCCTGTGGACGGCCCCCCTCAGCCCCCTCACCCCCCACCCACCAGGCAGACAAGCTGGTCAATGTGCAGCCCCTCGTCCCCATGGGCCTTGAGGATTCGGACGATGAGGCAGTTAAGAAGGTTCCGTCTCCTCTCCAAGTTCCGACCCTCTTCGTCCTCAGCTTTCAGGTACGTCTGAGCTGGGATGAGCCACACGTTGCCCCTCCGCGGCCTTGGCTCCTCACTGCCATCTCGAATCTTGAGCACCCCTGAAATAAGCCCTGGTCACTTGGATGGGGACCCACGAGGAGGCTGGCCCAGGCTTAGGGCAGAGTAGAAGCCCCAGTGCCCTAAGTACAAACCTCCTGGGACATCCTTTGGCTCCTGAAAGTCCAGAGGGCCCCTAGAAGAGGTGAGAGGCCCTATCGCCTGATTCAGCATGTCTGGAGACAGCCCCGAGAGCGCCAGCAGACTCTCCACAGAGACGGCCTTAGGAAGGGAAGGGAAGCATCAGGGCCCCCAGTGGAGAGAGTGCAGGGAGGGAAGAGGAGAGACCAGGCGGGAGAGGGCGCGGAAGCACGAGGGGCTGGGC